GGAGCCGCTCTTCACTGAATTCCCATGGCGGCGGCGGCAGCAGCAGCAGCTCCAGAGGCTCAGGACGAGGAGGAGGAGGAGGAGGAGGAGGAGGAGGAAGAGGAGGTGCAACACGCACTCATTAAACACTCCTTGTGTTTCTGTGGTTTCACTTGATGTGAAGACGCGACGCTTAAATGGATCCAATTCCAACTAATGTCTTCAATAATGGCTTGTTGAACAACACAGGCGGTTTGATGACTAATAAAAGAGACTTCTTTCCACCCTGGCCGTCTGTGGATAATGATGCTGCTGCTGCTGCTGCTGCTGCTGCTGCTCTGTGGTCAATTAGAGGGACAGGGTCTGTCCGACCCCTCCCACCCACGGACTGAGATCCTGCAGATAAACGCGCATGTTTAAAGCTTGTCACAGTTCCAGGTCCATCCCACAGTCTTCCCCGGCACAGGGGGGGTTGAGGAGGAGGAGGGGCAGGAGGAGAGGGATGTGTGGGGGGGGGGAGGGGGTATCCCTCTGCTGGGGACAGATAGTAAGAGCTTATTTTAAACCAGGTGTTCTGACTCTGTAACCAGGAACAGGTGTTAGAACAGACCGTCATCTGATGATGATGATGATGATGATGATGATGAGGAAGATGATGATNNNNGGGGGGGGGGGGGGGGGGGGGGTTGCCAGGTTTTTCAGATGAGAAGTGAAGTGGCTGTGGAATTAATTCAGAGGGAAACGAGAACATCTGCGATGAGTTCAGTGACAATCGTCCAGGTGTTGAACAGACGACGTTACTGCACCGCTCCTGTGGCTCAGTGGGTGAGGAGAAGGAACGCCTGTGTGGAGACAAACACACGTCCAACGTCCACCTCCAGTTGGTGAAAGACACTGAATGAAACAAGCCCAATTCTGTTTCAAATGTTTGGACAAATAGCCAGGTGGCTGAGTGGTGGGGCGGGGACCAGGACCAGGACCTGAACCTGGACGTCACTGTTCACACCAACATTCACACTACGGTCAGTTTAGAGTGAATCTGACGTCCGAAGACCCTGGAAGAGACCACCAGTTACTACTGGGGCTCAAACCCTGTAACCATCTTGCTGTAAGGCAACCTCACGCACCACTACTCCACCGTGTGGCCGATGTGTTAACATTGTTATATCATCAGGAAATAAAACAAAACTGTGACTGAAAAAAAATTTTTTTTTTCTTTCCTGGCCTGAAACAGATCTGTTTTTCCTCCTGTGGCATCTGCGTTCAGAGGAGCAGCTTTTCTCCTCCGTCTCAACCGTGTCAAATCCCATTTCAGTCCGAGCTCAGTGATTTTTTTCCAAACTGGCAGCTTTTCAGGAACGCTGCTGCAGCCAGAGCACTTACGTGACTCAGGAGGGAACACAGTCGTCGTCGTTGTTGTTGTTGTTGTTGTTCCTGCTCTGATGACAGTGATTATCTTCAACAGGAGAAAAGAATTTCATGATGAAAATTACAGTAAAAGGATATAAAAAATAAATAAATAAATGTTTGATGGAACTGACATTATGCAGCTTGTTGGAGAAAACAAAACAAAGTTGGCGCCTCAGATGTAAATGTCGTCTGTGTCTCTGCAGGGCTACAGACAAGGGTCAAAGGTCAGGATCACAGGACGCCTCAGCGCTCCCACCGTAAAGTTCACCTCCTCCCGATCGCCGACTCTGCACGTCGCATCGCTCAACATCTCTGAAGCAGAAGTGGGGAAATAAAAGGCAGACGACGGGGTTTGAAGGGAGGAAGGAGAGAAAAAAAAACTGGTTCAAAGGAAGAGATTTTTACAGCTGGAGAAACGTGGTTCAGGGAAAAGTATCTACCGAGAAAAATAAAAAATACATTTATATTTCTGAAATATATATGTATATATATATATATCTTTTTTTTCATGGTTCACTGATACTAAGTCTAATGTGATTTCAGTGTCACTTCAGATTAGATTAGATTAGATTACGTCGTTACAGGTTACCAAGCAACAAAGAGAAGAACTTGTTCAAACCAAAGTTAAAGAAGTGCAGGGATCGGTACTGGAAACCAAAATAACTCCAAACTGTTTGTAGAAAAATGGCACAAAGACAACATCGAGTGACAGATATGGGGGGGGTCGGGCATGAGGGGCGGGGGTCAGACAGTCTATGACCCTACTTTTTTTATTTTTTTTTAACCCACTTTGCAGCATCACAGTCTTTTACAGAAGCTCCTCCAAAAAAAAAACAACAAAACCCAGAAATGAAACGGTGCCTCATTAAGACTAGGCTTCAATTCCCACGAGGACTGAGTGTCTGTGTTGGTACTGGAAAACAGGTAGATCAACACACACACACACACACACACACACACACGCGCTGCTGTTGAACTGCTTCAAAACAAAACATTGACTTTCTGGAGTTAATTACGGTGAATAAATAAAAAACCTGTGATGATTTATGCTCATTGTTTCCGTTTCAATAATTAATAGGTGGAATTATTCATGAGCCTCACAAACCCTGACACTGGGACTGGTTTCACAGGGAGCTGAGGAGGAGACAAATGGACACAGCGCTGGTTTCACAGGGAGCTGAGGAGGAGATAAATGGACACAGCGGCAGCTGGATTTACTGTCCGCAGTGCCTTTGAGCAAGAATTAAAAAAAAAAAAACCATCAGCATCACCTGCACCTTCTCCAGGAGTTGACAGCTCAGTGAGGAGACAGTCGCAGGAGACAGTTACTGTGTTCTCCTGGGGCTGTGGGTCCCTAACACCACCTCCTCCTCCTCCTCCTCCTCCTCCGCCTGCAGGCAGTAAAGAGACAAACGGGAAGATTCATGCGCCTCTAACAGGAGTTTGACGTTAAGTGCAGCTCTGCAGCGACAATAAAAAAGAAACTGGAACCTCTGAGAAATGTCGTGGTATGGAGATGAGGGGCCGCAAATCAAAAAACAAACACAAGACTGAACTGAACGAACTCCCCGGAGACGTCTCTGCTCCGCACCTCCACTCCCGTTCCATTGTTCATCATCTAAAGTGATTTGTCATTTCCTCCAGAGATTCGACCAATCAGAGAGTGTGTTTTATTTAACAGCAGCCTCCACAGTCGGAGGCTTTTATTCTGAAGGGCATGTGGTCAAAACCCACTGAAGCCACGAATAACTGTGGTCCAAGGTTAGAGTGGGCTCTGGACACACACACACACACACACACACACACACACTCGGCCTGCGTCCTGAGCTGCCATCTCAAACCCAGCTGACTCGTCTGGTTTCTCTCGGCTCTCGCTCAGCAGAAGCTAAAGGACATTTTTGGAGCGAGTTCAAAACCGTTCAATCATATTTAGGAAGTAAACAACAGCAACCGTCAGAAGAAACCAGTCCATTACACCCGGCAGGAGGAAGAGGAGGAGGAGGAAGAGGAGGAGGAGGAGGAGGAGCCTGGCAGTGAGACTTCACTGACCTCCTGTCTGTGGTCCCAGAACCTCCTGGACCAAATCTGATCATACAGTTAAGGAGCGACGGTCTGGTCTGAAATGTTCCAGTCTTCTGCTCTAGTTTCAGTGTTTGGTCCAGGGACACATCAGCATGTGGATGGAATACTTTACGTAAAGATATAAAGTGTATTTCTGTAAATCTAAAACACCGGTTTGAAGCTGGTGTTGTGACTCAACTTCCTGTTTTCACTAGGTGGCGTTCCACAGGGTTCACTTCTGGGACCAGTGTTGTTTTAACTGGGTCCAAATTTAGCATTTTTGTTGCTAAGGCTAATGTTTGTTCTCTTAAAAAGAGATAAATGTAACATGTTAATCTTAATGACTTTGATGTGAATCCATATCTGAGATAAAAGTTTTAGCGAATCGATATGAACGGATTAAAAACACAGGTGTGTACTGGTGTGTAGTACTCAGCAGTACACAGGTGTGTAGTACTCAGCAGTGATGGTTTCTGTCACTGCAGGTCATAGACTGAACTCGACAGCAACTATTAACTGAGCAAGGTCACAGCAGGGGGCGCTTTATGACTGACCTTGACTCCTGTGTGTGGTGGGGTGGACGTGTATGTGTGTGTGGTGGGGTGGACGTGTATGTGTGTGTGGCGGGGTGTGTATGTGTGCCTGTCTGTGACAGCCATATGGGTTCCTGTCAGATGCGTCTGATTTCCTTTGTAAAAAACGACCTTGTGGCATCTCGGTAAATCAAAGAGGTCTGTGGTTATTCTGGTCTTAATTTGCAGAGTTATTTTAGACACAACACAGCAAACATGAGTGAACATATATATATATATACATATATACATATACAGTATATATACATATATATTGCACAGGTTTGTGTTTTTCTATAGTGTAAAGATAGAGGTTTGATGACATATTTCTACAATTTAAGTGTTAAGTTATATCCCAAGATTCCGACTAACTCTGAGATCAAAGTCAAAATTTGGAATTTAAAGTTGTAAGTAGCACACAATACAGACATGTTATTGACTTTGATGTCTGAAAGTCATTATTCTCTTGATAAAAGGCATTGCTTTGAAATCTGAAAAAAATCTGAAAATATTTCCTACAATTTTTCACTAAAAGAAATAGTCTTGACTTTGATGTCAGAGATGAAAGTCATCATTCTCTTGATCAAAGGCAAAACTCAGAAAAAGCCCCTTCTTGTCCCTAATCCCCCTCTGTATCACCTCCTCCTCCTCCTCTCCTTTCACTCCGTTCTTCTTTTCAGTCCTAAATATAAACTGCGTTCGTGTCATTGATCCTCAGCTGTAACAAATACCACCGACTGTTTCTGTTCTTGTCTCCATCATGTCCTCCAGCTGTGAGGACACACATGTTCCCTCTACAGGAGCCTGGCTGAACAGGAAAAATGCAAAGATTCTTTTTTTTTTTTACCTCCGTTTCCTGTCGATTCTCTTTCCTTCCTCTTTTTCTAAATATAAACTCAAGAACACGTTTCCATCTGTGAACGTCGAACGTAAATCCTTAGGCACAGCTTTAGTGTTTGTTATAAATCTGTGTAAAGAAAAATAAAAAAATAGAATTAGTAAATTGTCATTGTGTTTTTTAAGTCATAAAAATTCAACAATTCAACAGCGGTGATAATTAAACAAAACTATTGAATTCAAATAAAATTCGTCATAATATATAATATACCAACACAGTGATAATATGAATCCATACAAACTATAATTAAATAACATTTAATTTCATCATAAATGAAAAGGACCTCTTCCTCTGGCGCGTCCCGGATTTGTCCACTGGGTGGCAGTAAAACACTTCTCTGATTTTCTGCCCTGTATTTCTCTGCTCTTTGCAGACGTAATGAAACCCAGATGTTAAAATAGAACAACATTGATATCGGTGTAATATGTTTAGGAAGGAAGGAAATGTGAGGCAGGTCTTAAAAAAAGGCAGCAAAAAAAAGTCGAGGATTAATTAAACGTCCATCATCTTTCGACACACAATACATGCAGATCCATGTTGCTGCTCCTGGTGTTTCCATCTTTTGGAGAGTTTTTTATTGTCTTTTCACCAAAAATGTTATTATTTTTTTAAATTGATTTTTAGCTTGTTAAAACAAATCCCCTAAAAGTTGTGGACCAACTCTTAGGGGATGAGGATTTGGAAGTTGTCATTGATGCAACATATAAAGTATCTCCATAGAAGTGAGGTTTAGATGGAAGATCTGTCAGGCTGCAGTAAACAAACCACGAAAAACAAAAAAAAAACTCGTACAAACAGACTCCTTCTTCATTCTTCTTCTGCTCTGCTGGGAGTTGTTTTATTCTTGGTTTCCTTTTTTCTTTTTTTTTCCTTACATAATTCCCCGTCGTCCTCGTCCACCTGTTGGCCAGGATGGACCGTTGGCAACTTCCAGAGCTCGGAGACAAACAACAATGGCGTGATTTAAAAGTGAAGTGTTGGCGTGATGAGGCCGTCAGCCTCCTCAGCTGCGTCTCCAGCACAGTTGGTGTGGAGGAGACTTCACCACCTCCACACAGCCCTGCCAGGAAGCAGCGAGTGCACACTCACATGTTGTTGGATGGTGGCGCTGCAGCAGCAGCACGTACAGGTCAGGGCAGAGACGTGTTTGTGCTTTTCTGGGTTGGCTTCACCATGAAAACATTCAACATTCGCTACATCATCCGTGAGTGGAAAACAACTCCTCAGCAGTCTGTCGTGAGACGAATAAAACATTAGATTAGAAATAACATTTAAAAAATAAAGTTGTAGCTCAGGAAAAAGCTAGAGGTTAGCCAAAGATTAGCCTTTTTGAGATTTCTTCCATTTAGAGATGAAAATAATCAGCTGATAAACCCACCACGATTAAAAATCTAATTGTAATCTTATCAAATCCAAACTCAATCACATTTTATTTTTAATCTAATTTTATGTTATGAAATCTAACGTAATCTAATCTAATCTTGTCTAATCTAATCTAATACATTTGGACTGAAAATTGAGCTCGATGCTCAGAGGGACAACCACGACCACGTAGAACCGGTCAAAGGACCAGCGTTGGACCCAGAGCCAGACCTTTGACTCTCCTTATAAAGCCAGTGACGTAACATTGAAGCAAAACATGTGAGAAGACTTTGCTGCATTAAATAAATAAATTTTAAAAAATCTGATCATTAATATTGAATCTTTACACAGACGGTGGAACTGATCTGAGATCTGTTCTCTGTAGAACAGACACAGAGGAGAGAAAATGATTTATTTTTACTCTTTAAGTGTCGGATGTGCCATTTGAGAACCAATCAACACGTCCGTGTTTACACTGTGACTGTAACCTGCTGGTAACTATGGGCAAAAAGAAAAAAAAAGAAAAAAAAATCTAATAAAGGACTCGTCGTCGTCACTCCGCATGCGTAAAAGCAGCGTCTGCGTCTGTTGTGCCAAAGGCGAGTGTTCAAAACCAAACTCCGCAGTTTGTCCGTCCGTCAGAGTCGAGTGCGTCCTGATGACGACGACGCAGCTCTTTTTACGCACACGGCTCCACGGCTCCACAGCGACACGACACCGTCTCCAGAGCGGCTTCCTGTCACTTCACCATGGCTCGGTGTTTGGCACCGTCTCTGCGCTCAGCTCCAGGCTGCCCGCGGCGGGCGCGCGTTTGACTTCAGTTAAAGAACCGCATTTGACGCACGAGAATCAAACCGCCCTGAGTGGACAAACACTGCAGAGTTGACCGTTCCTTTTATTTTATTTTATTTTCTTCAAGGTGTGACGATCGGAGATGGGGAACATCACGGCTCCTCCGCAGCTCAACCAGACTCTGGGAGTTTGGACGGACCACAGCCTCCAGTACAAAGTCACCGGCAGTTTGCTCCTTTTCCTCATTTGCTTTTTGGGCATCGTGGGCAACGTGATGGTGATCCTGGTGGTCCTCACCACCAAGCACATGAGAACTCCCACCAACTGCTACCTGGTGAGTCTGGCGGTGGCGGACCTCATGGTTCTGACGGCGGCGGGTTTGCCCGCCATCGCCGAGGGCGTGTTCGTGTCCTGGGTGTTCGGCCACTACGGCTGCCTCTGCATCACCTATCTGCAGTACCTGGGCATCAACGCGTCCTCCTGCTCCATCACCGCCTTCACCATAGAGAGGTACATCGCCATCTGTCACCCAATCAAAGCGCAGTTCCTCTGCACCTTGTCCAGAGCCAAGAGGATCATCCTGTTCGTCTGGGCCTTCACCTGCCTCTACTGCACCATGTGGTTCTACCTGGCCGACCTGCAGGAGACGGTCTACGACAACGTCACCATCGTCACCTGCGGATACCGAGTCCCACGGAAATACTACATGCCCGTTTACTTCTTCGACTTCGGCGTCTTCTTCGTGCTGCCGCTGCTTCTCTCCGCGGTTCTGTACGGACTCATCGCCCGGATCCTCTTCCTCAACCCGCTGCCCTCTGACCCCAAAGACAAGAAGAAGAACGGACACAGCGGCGGCAACAACAACCACAGCGGCAACAGGACCATCAGCTGCAAGAACTCGCGACACTCCAGCTCCACCGCCACGTCCCGCAGACAGGTGCGTAAAGAACAGGGGCGTGAAAGAGTAATCCAGGGGTCGCTCTGTATGAAACAAAAAAATCGAATCGAAAAATCGAAACTGTTAAAGTTATTAATATATTTTTGAAAGATAAAGAAAAGGCTGTGTGTATTTAAAAAAAAAATCACATGCCCTTTGCAGTACCTCCATCGACCACCAGGGTTAGCAGACTTCATAATGAAAGAAATGCAATCTAAATATGTAAATCAAAACAAATCAAGTTGATATTTACAACATAGTAGTAAAAAAGTAGGAGAAATAACCAGTCTTGACCACTAGAGGTGCCCATTGTGCAGCTAAATGCAGTTCTCCTAACCCTCACTGTTGCCCTCTGCAGGTGACCAAAATGCTTGCCGTGGTTGTGATCCTCTTTGCCACCCTGTGGATGCCCTACCGCACCCTGGTGGTGGTCAACTCCTTCCTGGAACAGCCCTACCTCGACAACTGGTTCCTGCTTTTCTGCCGCGTCTGCGTCTACCTCAACAGCGCCATCAACCCGGTCATCTACAACGCCATGTCGCAGAAGTTCCGCGCCGCATTCCGCAAGATCTGCCGCTGCAGGAGGAAGGGCTCGGACAAACCCGCCACCTACAGCGTGGCGCTCACCTACAGCGCCGTCAAGGACACGTCGATGGTGGAGAGCACCGACCACTACACCACCGAGCTGGAGGAGCTGACCGTCACCGACGAGCTGCTGACGGAGCAGAAGGTGATGTTTCCCAACCCGTGTGTTTACGGGAAGGTGGATTTCAGTGACGCCTGAGACGGAAGGATTAAAGACGTGGACAATGTGGCTTTAATGTGTCCGTTAAGTGCGAGGGCGGTTTCTTGATTGCCCGCTGACCTTTTCAGGGGGCAACCTGCTGCTGCTGTAAACACAGATTACAGCCTCTAATGTGTCACAGCTTCATCGTTGACGCCAAACACGCTCTCTTTTATCAATAGCGATCCACAAACACGGGCAGATAAGTGCTGCCCAATCACACGGCTCCTCGCGTTTCAACGGACCCTTGAAATAAACCGTGAGTCCAGATGATTGTCAACTGATTGTCAACAGTCTACCTTCAAGTACAAGATGCTCCGTAACATCGTGTCATCAAGGACCGAGCTCATTGGCTGCACATGGACGTCAACAAACTGTACCAACCACAGAACTAGTCAGTGACGTCACCAAAAATCATCAACCTGAACTAGAAGACATTTCCTTCAAACTGCAAAACAACATGACGTCACTGTCTTCTGGACCATCTAACACAAACTTTTCTGGATCATGCTTTTTCTTTTTCGGAGGACTCTCTGACTTGCTTGCTAACAGCAAAGCACCAGAGCATCACCAAGTGTCAGCCCTGATGCTGACATTCTGTCTAAAAAAAAAAAAATCACCGATGGACAGACCTGAAACTCTGCCTTTAAATCACTGTACATATCCTTCAGTAATTTAACCACGCCGTCGTTTTTTTCCAGAGTTTTCATTGAAAATCAATCCATTTATCTCCAAAATAACCCATCACCTTTTGCAGGTGTTTGCCCCCCCACACCCTCTTCCCTCCCCCTCTGGTGTTCCAAGGCAGACGGTCCATTAAAGTATGAGTCAGACCTTAATCTTTGCTAACAAAACAGGTCGTATTTTTCGGTGGTAAGGACAGGATCCAGCCTTCAGGGCTCTGTGGAAACTCAGATTAGAAGACTGAGCTCATGTCGTTGTCTGGAGTTTAGTGAACATAAAAAAACTGCATTAAAAAAAAACACATTTAAACACTCCACGTCCATCTACTCTATGTCAGAAACATAAAACCAATCATTATTTTTTAAAGTACATTTTACTTTGTATTAGCCTTGAAAACGTCTCTACTTCTTATCAGGTGAACTCATCCAGGTCACTTCATTAAAGAACATATTTTCTGAGAGTAGCCTTGAAAACCAGCAGTAAGTTTAAAGGTGAAAAAACAAATGGAAATTTTTCTTAGGAGTAAAAAAAAAAACAGGTTTGACTTTATCTGAATCTATTGGAAAAAACTTTCCTTGTATCTATTAATGAATAACTAAAATATTTCAGAGACCAACTGCAGGGTCGAGACCCACGGAAGTGACACAGAAGCTGTTTTTGTATCTCTTAAATAAACATTTTGTATTTTAAATGTAATTTCTTTTTTTTTAATTTTGGAAAAAAAAATGGTTTCTCAACAAACTAGAACATTTTGAATATTTTTTTGGAAAAAAAATTGAGGGGAATTTTTTTTGGTAAAATCCTAATTTTGCATGTCATGTGGTCATATGGTGAAAATTTATGATGGAAAATTTTGGGGGGAAAAAATTCAAAAAGTTATCTTTTCTGCATGTTTCTCATCAAATTAGAGTATTTAGAAAATTCTTTAAGAAAAAAAAAACAAATTTGAAATATTGTTCCACAAAAACCAGGAAGCAGATTTAAAAATCAATCTCATCTAAGATTTTGGATAGTGGATTTCATGCTATAAATAAATACTATAAATAGTGTAAAAAATAAAACTGCTGCATACTACTTCAGTATTTAAATAATTGCGCAAATAAATTTAAATAACGACCCCCAAAAAGCAAAATCAAATCATTATTGAAATCTTGTCCCAGGCTGGATGTGAGGTGGTTGATGCTGCGGGGCCAAAAGTGGTCCCCAGGCCGGGAGTTTGGCACCCCTGCTGTGCACCCTTTACTGTAAGACACGTCGTATTAAAACTATGACACGTTAAGTTTCTTCAGTTAATGTTTGTGAGAATAAACTGTACATAATGTCACTCAGCTGTAACATAAAGATATTTAATGTCTGTGTTTGATCACATCCACAGTTTTGCTCGTCTTGCTCTGTAGTCGTGAGCGTTTTCTGTCGCCATCTGTGACGGCGGTTGATTTTCCAAACACGCAGTGGAATCATTTTGGCCGCAGCCGTTCACTGGCGTCGACTCTAAAGCTACAGTGTTGGTGTTGACAGTGTACCGGCTCTGGATATCGTCACGTTTGTGTGCGTTCCGTGTGTACGTGATTGTTATTTATTGTAACTTATGTTGAGGAGAGAAACGACGTGTATATATTTACGCCCGCGGGCGTTCTATATTTTGGTTATGATATTGAGATATTCTATTTAAATAAGGAACATTTTAACCGTTTTTTCGCCTCGTGACGCCGTTGATTGTTGATTTGTACATTTTATCCTTTTGTGTTTGACAATAAAGCTGTTGCGAAAATTTGAATTTTATTCCAATTTATCTCATCATTTATCACTGTCGGTTTCATCTCTTCAATTTTGCCATATATATAAATAAATAAATACAGCTGCTAAAAAACTTCAGATTTTTTTATATACAAATTTTAAAAACTTCAACGCTGCCATTTTTAGTTTGCCACTTTGCTCACAGTAATAAAAAAATCCTGCAGTACCACTGCTGTCCAGCAGGGGCTGTGTTCACAAACGCCTGTAAGTATTGTCAAAAACTGCTAACACTCGAACAATAATCTAGTAGGACTGTGTAGGCTAACTGCTAGCTGTTTTACATTGGCCTGTTTTTGACTTTAGGCTAAAAAAAGATTTAAAGGAAATACTCGGAGATAATCACAAAAATGGAGATAAAAGCACAAATCAAATCAAAAATGTTTCTTTAATTAACTTGAAGCTAATCTGCTCCTGCTAGCAGTTAGCTGAACAATACCAATTATGGTTATTTTGGCCTGATTGCCCTAAGGTAATGAAATAAATTACCTAAAAAAAAAATGGTTTGCTCGAATAAAATGGCAGCATTTTCGAGAAGATATCGTACAAAAAAATAATAAGAGTCAAAGGCTCGTACATTTTGTATTTTTCTCTTTTATCTCTTTTATGTCGTCCTTCTACTCCTATGCTGTATTAGAACAGAAGGATAAGCGACGGCGTGTGTGAACCTCTGATCTCATCATTGTTCCATCTTGACACGTAATAACTGCATTTAAACAAGACACCATTTCAACCTGGGATTGAAAATGGAGTCATCATTTCAAACCAACATCACTCGTTATAAACGACCTGAGAGCCGTTTCATTTTTAGAGCTAATTTATAGCCATCGCATGGGAGAAAATAGAAAAAAAAAAAGACTGAGCTGAATTTCAACTGGTGCCGTACAGCGTTTCTGAAGTGTAAATAATGATCAATCCACTCCCCCCCCACTCCCTCCCTCCCCCACCATCCTCCCGTCATCGCCTATTTTTCCACTGAAGCAGCTCTGAGGTCACCTCCAGCCTCTGAGGGGGAGAAAGGCAATAAAACA